GCATATTGCTAAAACACTGTTTAAACTTGATTGAAATCCTATGAATGGAGAGGATTCCTCTTACAAATGTAGCGACAGGTTATGCATATTTGTGTTACTATTTCATAACACAGAATATAATGTCAATTCAATTCTGTGCATGATATTACATCAAAGTGGAAATCTGCGATCTGGGAGGAATTCCTCAGTATCTGCATAACCCCAGTTGTCTTCTGTCTCACTTACTGATATATGTTAACAGCTATTGTAGTGGTAGAGTTGGGTATTTTTTCCTCCCTGTGCCTTCCTAGTCCTCACTCTTGACACTAACATAATGTAGGTTTTTAGACAGTTTGAGATCAAAGCCATTCATTTCCATGTGTATGTTTCCATGTGGAAAAACCAAGGCGTATCCATAAAACTCCCAGTAATACAAGAATTCGTAGACATCACTGTGGTCACGAAGGACTTCAGTCTGAAGAGAATTAGTTTTTCACACCGTCACTACAGTTCCTGTATTACTAAAAGCAGGGCTTTATGATAAGCATCTGTTCTTGCAGTATCTTGGTAGTTAGAAGCCCAAGTAGGTCAATTCAGGCTCTTTTAATTTATGTGAACAAGAATGGGTTGTAGCTATAGAGAACTGCGAGTAAACAGACTGGGCGCAGGGATGGGGTTCTATCTGTTCTCTCCTGTGTGTATTCTCTCTATGTGTATGTAGGACAGTCTGGATGTTTACTCTAAGGTCTTGAAGTGATAACGTCTTGAAGTGAAATTTTACCAAATTGAATCCTTTAAAAATCTGCAACAAGCATGTGCAAACTGCTGCAGTGGTTGCATTTTTACATGGAGTTCTTTTGATCTAGATACATCCAAATAGTTGTTCTTATTTTGCCATGTTAATGCATTACTTGTCAGGTGAATAGGTTGAATCATTCAATTTTCAAAAAATGCTCTTAGTGTAAAAGGCAAGAAAGAATCTTGAGGGTGCTGCAAAAAATATTGATACTTTTACAAGTAATGGTTCAGACAAATACAATCTGCAGGGTGGCTTTTGGGGAAAAGTTTCTGTTAAAGGGGGGAAAAAAGCATGCAGAAAGTGAAAAAACATTGGCAACAACTCTGGGTTTTTTACTAATAAAGGGTGATAAGCAGGGTTTTAATGTTGTATGAATAAAAATTTGGGATTTGCTGATCCTTTTTTTCATGCTAAGTTTAACTGCTTCACGTGGTTTTAATGAATATTAGGGCCAAGGATGGTTATAAATGTGAATGATTCAGACCCTGAAGTCTTCACACCGAACTTCAGAAACTTTACGTATGATCTGTGTTGTTTAAAAGGTGTTGTTCTCCAGCCTTGACTGAGATTGGCACTGTAAGGAGCTCATGCTTTTCCTGCGCACATACAACTCTTCTGCCCTATGATACAAAGAACAAAGCAATAGAAATGAAGTTGACCTGTCCTGTTCTGCACGCCTGCCTGGTTGCTGGCCTTTGAGCAAGAAAACCAAGACGGTTAGTTAGGGGCAAATGTGGCCTGATACTCAAGCTACCAGCTAGAATTACAGCTGTGTATATTGAATTTTTTCAATTAACTTCATTGATTATATGTTAAATACAAATACAAATATTTCTTCCACCTTCTGCTCACCTAGTAATACGACTGTGTGAAAACAACTGCATGAGCAACGGTGTGTTGCCAAAGCATGTTGTGTAATTCCTATCCGAGGCACAGTTTCCGAATATCAACATGAGAGGAGACCTTCCTGAAGATCAGAGAATGCAGAATGTCTCCCAGTGTCTCTTGGCAGGATTTAAAACAAAATAAATATAGCTGAGAAAACTGCATATCGTGAATCACTTGAGGACATTTCTGCAACTTGCATCCATTTCTTGCCTCTCCCTCATATCTGGATTTAATCCTAGTACTTCTGGAACTATGGCTCTGCCTTCCTCTGGTGTCTTTCCTCCGGGAGCTCAGAGATTTTGGAACTGTTATGAAACATGAGGGACTTTTCTGGACCATGCAGCTTTTTATTAAATCTACTCTAGATGGGAGCTCAGAGATTTTTGGAACTGTTATGAAACATGAGGGACCATGCAGCTTTTTATTAAATCTACTCTAGAAGTGAAAAACTAATGAATTTGGAGAATGCTAATGGACATAAATTTAAGAAAGAAAATGATAAGGCATTATATGCATCTGTATGCAAATTATTTGTGGTTTATTATTTAATTTATTCCTTGTCTTTGGCAGTATATCTGTGTGGTTTTGCATACACTTTTACTTGCAGATCTTGGAATCCTTTACAATCTCACATCTCTAGTTAATGACTGAAAACCTAGTCATCAAGTCCTTGCAATAATAATTCTGCTCCCCAGAGCACCAGGTGCCATACTGCATCAAAAAGCCTTTTTCAAAATGGCAATTAATTTTTTTTTTCTTTGGAAGAGTGGGGTTTTGTGCTTAATAGGGGCATGCAGATAAGTTTGCATGAAACACTAACATATGTGAATTATTAATGAAACTCAAACACAAAACATAATGCAAATATTTTAAATAAAATATACTGAAAAAAATCAAATCAAAGTTATGTCCTTGCTTGTATGCTGATGTTACTACTAATTATATTTCAAAACTACTTACTTCCCTTGGGAACCTTGCTCTCCTGTTCAGTAAGATGTGTTACATGACAAATTTTTCTGCAACAACTGTGATTGTGGCAGACAGTAAAATGTCTGATACCCATGGGACAGTTATGTACTGTTATGTATTCCCCTGCCTTGCACCTGTAATGTGTTGTAATTAGTCGCTATCATCAAATGAAGTTGGGCCTGCAGAGGCACAGATGTCTTGTTCAAGTCAGCGGAGTGTGACTTGATTGGTAATACCTATAGCCTTGCCAGCCTGTATTTTCCAAACCTATGCTGCTCGTGGTAGACCCTTCCTCTAAAAGGTGAAGAGATCTCCTGCTCTTCTTATCTGTGTTCTTAAATGGTTTTCAAATGCTCAGACATCAAATTAATTTATTATCTCATTTTCTATCCGTCACTAATCCCCTCTCATTAACTATGCTGAGATCATGGGGTGGAAAATTGTTTTCCAAGTTCTGTGTTGTAGTACCGTTTGCTTAAAAACCTGCTGACTAAACCAGAGCGTTTCTGCCCTGCAAGGAGGCAGAACCCGGCTCGCTTCTGTCCCAGAAGCAGCACAATCTTCCACAGGGAGAGTCGTCTTCCACACCAGAAACATTGTGGGTTTTAGTTAGCAGCTTTATAAGCAAATGGTATTACAACACAGAACTTAGAAAATAATCTTTCTCCCTGTAATGATAATGAAAAGGGCATGGTATTTACTCTTCCAGAAAGGCATTTGTAGCAGCACTCTGAATTGTTTCTGTTTGCATTATGACAGGCTGAACTGGAAAGACTTAACGCTGTTCACCTGGAAGTTACATAGCATCACACCTTCATCTTGTTCTTGATGGATTATGCCACATATAAATAGACTGTGTGTACTGGCTGTTAGGCACGTTTATCCTTAGCAGCCACGAAAGCCTGTCAAATGTCATCTGAGTCTATAGGATGGTGTAATTCCCACTGAAGCTAATAGAATAAAAGCTATGCAGAGCGGCATATTCATTACCTCTGTGTTATATGTATTTAGCCTCTTGTACTCTCCCAAAAGGGAGAAGTTAGGCTTTTCATTCTATGGTTGCTAGTAAAAAGATCAGCTGCAGTGGAATACATGTTAATACAGCGTGTGATTAGCAAAAGGCAAAGCTTCTCAGATGAACGTTGATACTACTGATCTAAAAGTACCCAGTTCCATGCCATAACTCAGATGAAGTAGCAGCAGTTAGTACTACAAGTTGCTACTTTTACATCTGTTAAGTGGTGTGGATCTTTTTCTTGCCACTGTAAGTAAGACAAAATCAGATGCACCGTAGAAAAAAGTCAGTTGCCTCAGTGAATTGTTTTGGTGGTCTCTTTTACTGAGGAAATCTGTCTAAGGATGTAAGTGAATGAATTCTATGAGGTTCACGAATCGCTTTTCTGGTGAAAATGCAGCTGAAATCGTTAGTGTCCATTGGCATTGTTAACACTGCAGATTCAGTGGTCTTGAAGGTGATTTTTGCTGTTAATTTCTTTCTGTGTGCATGCACGTACATCGTGACTTTGTTTTCATTGTTCAGGTTATATTCTTGCTGTTGGCCTGCCAGAAGGCTTGTCTTCCTCATAGGCTTTCCTTTTCAGGACTCTGCACAAATTTGACTCAAATTTGTCAAAATTGTTTCTATGGCTGCTTTGCTGCGTTTTAAGCGTGTGTTAAAAATTCTAAGTTAATTCTTACGTAATTATTGTGTTCAAGTTGAATCCATGTGAAACCAGTAATGCCCTCTCAGTTTGCGTTCAAAATTATGACCAGGCGCTACTTACTCTTATTTCAGTCTGGCTTTGAGACCTTGATGGGTCATGTTGGTGAACTTTGCTTAATTCTGGCAGCTTTTTGTTAGAATTGGTGCCCGCATTTGGGAGCTCCAAATTCTGCGTCTCAGAATAAAGCAAACTGCATAGGCATGTGAACTAGTTTGTACCCCACATCCTGGCTTACTAACTTTTTTTTTTACTAACTAGCTCTTATAAAGGCAGGCCTGTTTTATGCTGAGGAATTGGTGGACTGTGCTGGAGGAAGTGAGGAAATGAGGGGGCTCTGAGGAATGATAGCTAATTCAAGAAACAGAAACTCTTTGAACAATGTTATAGGTAAAAGAGACTTTAAAGAATGCGTTATCAGCAGACTGATTATATTTTAGTGCACTGTATGATGCAATTCGTGTGTGTTGGATTGTCGTTATCTGTGTTAGATTAAAGCAGTTATAGGGAAGCATTCATATGACCTTTATTAGGACTTTTCTTGCTATACAGCTGTTTGAAAATCAGAATAAAGTGATTACTTTCACCTGTAAGTGTTTTCTAAATGCATCTTGTTAATTGCTGTTTCTGATTTCTTTTACTAGAACCACCTAGGGTTGTCATTTCACCTAAGAATCAGACTTTTACAGAAGGCTCTGAAGTGTCTATCAGGTGTTCTGCAACAGGTTATCCAAAGCCAACAGTAGTATGGACACACAACGATATGTTTATTATTGGTTCAAGCAGGTAGGGGCTATAGCTTTCTCTATTTATTTTTATTTTTTTTTTCCTATGTGAGAAAGAAGGTTTGAAGAATGCCAAAATATTCTGATTGTTTCTTCCACAGGAGTCTGTGAGTGTTGGAAGTAGTACCTTAGCCTTCACTGTTATAACTTTTCAATTTCCTCATCTCTAAAACAGAAACACTTCAGTTCTTTTCTTTAGAAGGTTTTTTTACAAGATCAGTTTAAATGCTTTTTACAAAATGTCTTGATATTCTCTGGTAGATACACCAATATCATTGCTTATCATGAGCAAAAAAACCAGCAATACCTGTTTATAAACCATCTGGTCATGCTGTTGCTGCTTGGAGTGTGGATGTAACCGTTACTCTCTTTCCTTTAACTGATCATTTTGGTTGGTCCCCTGCATGTTCCTAGGTATAGATTGACCCCAGAAGGCACCTTAATCATAAGAAAGGCAATTCCAAACGATGCAGGAGTTTACGGTTGCTTGGCAAGTAACTCAGCTGGGACAGAGAAACAGACGTCCACCCTTACATACATTGGTAAGTAAAAGAAACAATGTGGCGAAATTAAAAAGCAAACTAATACATCATCAGGGAGGAACTGTTAAAAAGTGGTAGAGCATACTGGTAGAAAGCTCAAAATTAACTCAGAAGAGGTGTTGAACAGCTCACAAATGCCCCTTTTGTTTTCTGTTCAAATCTGAGTAGTATTATTAGGTGATATTTAGGCCTTAGTATTTCTTCTTACACTGTTTTTAAGGAGAAAAAAAAAAAAAAAAATTAAAATTGGGTATTGAAGTGGGGTAGACTTGCAAACCTGAGTAGGTCTTTGGAGAAGAAATCATGTCTCTCTAAATTCCTGTAGTGTGCTTAGCACTGTCCAAATTATGTCCTGTAACCACTACGTTATTGTATTAATAGCAGACTACTAAAATTCTTGATGAGAGAGGCTCTGAATCTTTCTACGTTATCAAACTCTTCCAATTCTTTCCTTAAATTCCCCTATATTCTATGTATGGTCCAGGTACTCTGGACATACCAGGCTCTCTCTGTTTCCCAATGTTTGTCTGCTGTCACCTTACATGATTTTTAAGGCTTTCTGACTTTTAATGCAAATATTCTTCCCTATAACAAGAGAAAACTAGAGTATTTTGTGGTTTATCTCTTAAAAATAGTATAAGCTTTGGAGGATGAACTAATTTTTTCTATGTTGTTTCTTTTTAGAGGGCCCAACGTTGACCATAGTTCAAAGTGAAATTCTGGTTGCTCTTGGAGACACAACTATTATGGAGTGTAAAACAACTGGAATCCCACATCCCCAAGTTAAATGGTTTAAAGGTGCACTTATTACTTTGTGTTTGGTTTATTTACTTTAGCAGTGATATCTAGAACAATGATCCTGAAGTGACTTCATTTTCTCAAAAGCTTGCATTCCTTTGCAATGCCTAGGTAATTGTTTGTTCCTTCTGTCGAATCTCAGAGGTATCTGCTACAGTTTCTTAAGTAGTAAGGCAGGATATTGGGTATCACAACTGCAGGAGTTTTCATAGAGTTAAATGGGAGTTGAGAATCCCATGTCTCAAGATCGACCGTTTATTCTCAGAAAAAGCAAGTGGCACCCATGTGTGGTTGTATAAGCCACCTGCCTGCTGATTTTCTGGAAAACCAGTAATCTTGTTTGTTAGATATTGTCAACAGATCTGGTCTGTTTGCAAATAACCTTGCCTCTAAGGAACCTATTTCTCAACTCACTGCTGTTAATGGTTGGCTTGTATTTTAAAGCAGGCTTTGGTCCTCATCCCAAAGAGTACATGTGGGCCAAGTCTGAATGTTACACATCAGTATTGTGGCTCCTGCTGAGCTTGAGAGGTAGCAGAGCTGTTTTCTGGGTTTTGCAGAGTTCCCAACTTGGGAAGGAGAAGTACAGTCTGGCACACTGTCCTAATGCTGATCTCTGTCCAAAACTACTTGGGTTTGTGTTCCCCTTGTGAAACAAATAAATAAAAAGGGATTTTATCTAATGAAGTAATGACCTTTTCCACTTGAGTGGAAGTCAGAGTACTCATCTGCTCAGTGAATGCAGGCATGTTGTGAACTAATCCCAAATTTGGACATTGTTTTGTTGGAATAATTTCGGTACATACTCTGTTACATTTCAGTTACTTTTTTTCTGTCTGGACTTAGGTGACTTAGAGTTGAGGCCATCAGCATTTCTCATTATTGATTCTCATCGGGGTCTTTTGAAGATCCAGGAAACACAAGATCTGGATGCTGGTGACTATACCTGTGTGGCTACCAATGATGCAGGGAGAGCTTCTGGAAAGATAACTCTAGATGTTGGCTGTAAGTAGCTTGCAGTCTAGACAGTGAATACTCTAATTTCAGTGTTTCTGTATCATGACACTGGCGCCTTGGTTTTCTGAACCTTTCTCACAAATACATTTAAGTCTGTGTGGAACACCTTTTTGGTGGTGTTCCCTAACCCGTTTCCATGTGCTATTTGGATTCCAGCTTTTCTTCAGTCTTACTACTTTTGCAAAGCATAAAAGTTCTGAGGAGGAAGAGAGAGGCAGAGGAGGGGGAAACTCTTCAAACCTCGACCTAGCGTAGTTCTTAAGTAGAGAATGTATTATACTAACTTAAATTACTATGTAAGGTTATTGTAACTTAGCCCTTCCTCTCATCTTTTCCTAATTCTTTCTAACTGCTTGTGGCCTGACACATCACATCTTGTGAAATGCATGTTCTTGACAGGCACATATACTTTCTGAAGGAGACGAGGAACTTAACACTTGAGTATGCGTGTTTGTCTGATGGGGGTAGCTGTATCTTCATTTTTTTGATATGTTTAGCCCATTTCTGAGCTCCCCATTGTAAGTACAGAGCCTGCAAGGCTGCTTTTGTAAGGTGTTGCTAGAGTTGGGAATCTGTTGTTAGAAGAATAATTGTGCATAATGGGGCATAAATTTAGGTCATCAGTAGTGTAAGCAGAATCCTAATGTCATGCTGTAATCCCAATTCACTTTCTGTGTATCTGCAGATATTGGCTCAAACATCACGCTGCCATGCTATGTTCAGGGGTACCCAGAACCAAAGGTTAAATGGAGGTGGCTAAATGGTGCTTCACTTTTCTCAAGACCGTTTGCAGTTAGTTCCATCAGTCAACTCAGAACAGGAGCTCTGTCTATTAACAGTAGGTAGACTGAACTTTAAAAAATAAATATTCCAGAAGGAAATATGACACATGCAATGGATTTAAGTTGCTATACTACTTTATAAAATTGTTAACTTTGTAAGAAGACTGGATTTTTATCAGAGACTATGTTTCTGATACTGACTTTGTTGCTTTTGACATGCAGTTTATTTTCCCATGAGTTTGTGAATTCAGTTGTATTTGGTCATTGGCTTCACTCTTCTTCATAGAAATTGTTACACTTTTGTTTAAATAAATATAGGTTATGTTCTCTGTTGATACTGGTGAGCCATGGATTTTCTTTTTTATATTTTTTCATTTTATTCTTGAGAGGTGTCTCTAAATTAATTGTTTTAGGCAAGTCCTAACTTTGGTAATAACTAGAAATTCTGCAAGTGGCTTTGCGATTTCGGTTACTTGGAGTGTTTCAGTCACCCATACACTAAGTGTTGTTATTCTCTTTTCTTAATTAGCTCCTTTATTCCTTTCTAAACATGATCAGGTTGGGTAGAGTAATTCCTCTCTACTGTATGTACAGTGCAGCAACTGTTGTGTTATGTACCACTGTGTAGGTGTCTGTTTACATGTGTTTAGTAAGCAGTATTCCACAGTAAATGTGCTACATGATAGCGTATGTATGCATGGATATATAGTGTACTGCCATATATTATTTATGCACATTAATATATACTGTACTAAAGTATACACAGTATATCATAGAATAGTTTAGGTTGGAGAAGACCTTTATGATCATCAAGTCCAACCGTTAACCTTAGCACTGCCAAGTCCACCACTAAACCATGTCCCTAAGCACCTCATCTACCCATCTTTTAAATACCTCCAGGGATGGGGACACAACCTCTTCCCTGGGCAGCCCGTTCCAATGCGTAACAACCCTTTCAATGAAGAAATTTTCCTAATATCTAATGTAAACCTCCCCTGGCACAACTTGAAGCCATTTCCTCTTGTCCTATTGCTTGTTACTTGGGAGAACAGACCGACAACCACCTTCCTACAACCTCCTTTCAGGTAGTTGTAGAGAGTGATAAAGTGATGAAAAGTATTGTGTATATGTATATAATGCTTTTTTTCCCTCAAGTGCCCATATAGTCATTGCTTCTGTACTTGGTGATAGATGGAAAGGAATGATCTGGCCAAAAATGAATATTTGTAACTGAAAGATAAAAGAATAGGGTATCCATGTATTGCAAACTTTTTAGTATCACTTCAGATGCTGCAGTCTGATCACTCCCCCTGCCTCTAGGTTTGTGGGTCAGTGATGAAGGAACTTATATCTGTGAAGCTGAGAACCAGTTTGGAAGGATTCAGTCACGGCCAGCCACAATCACAGTAACTGGACTCGGTAAGACTGGTTAATGTCAGTGACGACAGTGAAAGAAAAGACTGGCAGCATACCTGGAATATACTGGAGGAGGCGATAGTCGATGGTGTTTGTACAACAGATATGATGTCTGTGGGTTATGTACATATGTGGTAATATATCTATATGCTTTTATCTATAGTTATACTTACACATATCTAGTCATCCACACAAACTGAATCAGAAGACATTTGCATGGAATATTGTAATTTATTCCAGTGAATTTGGCATGTTAGAACATTGTCTTTTCCCTGGCTACATTAATTTGAGTTAGTTCCATCTACACTTTGTAATATGGACCTTAAAGTTATTTATCTTCTGTTTCTTATTCCTAAGTAATTTTATTAAGGAATGAAAAATCATCATAATGATGACTGCTAATGACGAGGTTTCTGCCACTTAATTCATCTTTTTAAAAAAAAGAAATAGCTGCAATGAACTTGCTTAGGTCAGTGTGTTGATATAACTAGGAAGGAATCTTAGTGATCCAAGAAGAGAGTAAATGTCTAGCTTTGACACTAGCTGTGCTATTGAGGAGTTGTTTATTATCTCAGTTGGACAATTGGCAATAAGAGGAATAATAGTACTATGGAATGTATACATTTGTGGGAGGATAAGAATGGAGTTCATCTGCCATCAAAGAAACTGTTTGTTAACTTAAAACGTGTGGTGGGAGCCTGTGATGCTAGTAGTAGTTGATAGACAACATATTTTTACCTATTTAAGTGTTATTTAATCCCCATTATTTAAAATTAATTTACAAAATATGTGTACAGGAGTGCTTTCTGGTGGCTCATTACAGACCATGCAGAATTTTCTGATGGACTGTTGATCTCTATTCTAATCCCTTTTTTATCATCACCAAACCTGCTACTTTTGTTCTTTGGTATTTTGCTGAAGCAAGGAAAAATGATCAACTCTGTATCCAGGGGAATATGAATTTTCAGGGAAATGCTGGATTGGATTAAATTTCAACTGGACAATGTCTTCCATTTGCTGCCATTCCTTAGTCTTAGGATCACTGTATGTGTATTCCTCCAGCTTCTTTTTCTTTCCTATGCTACCCTACAACTTCATTTGGGTTTTTTTTTGTGTTTTTTTTTCTCCTGACGGCATTGCTGGCATTTCAGATAGCAGGAACCCATCTGCTATTTTTTGTTGTAAAATTAAGTATGTTGGAACTTCCATGCTGTTTGTTGATGGCTACATTTTTTTTACCCTTTTTTCCCTTTCTATTTAAATTGTCTAGTTTTCATTGTAGGTAAAGTTTCTCGCTCTGTATTTGTGTAGTACCTTGCACAAGTGTGAAGCTGCTTGCAAGTAGCATTAGTGACAGGTCTAATACTAAAAATTCAGATGTCGTACTTTACATGAATACATAAAAATTCCTAATAATTTCTTCTAATTCTTTCTTTTGTTTTAGTTACACCTCTGATTGGAGTAAGTCCAGCCACAGCCAATGTAATTGAGGGGCAGCAGCTCACTTTGCCATGCGTATTGCTTGCTGGAAACCCTATTCCAGACCGGAGGTGGATTAAAAACAGTATGGTGGTAAGACTGTTTTATTTCCTGTAAGATTTATTGGCAGAGAAAATCTACAACTGACATTTCAAGCCATGACAACAACTTTGTTTAGTTTACAAAAATTGATGTACACGCATGTTGATAGATTTTATGCTTACAAATAAAGATGCTTCATGAGATTGGACTGGCTTACTGGAAACACAGATCCAGTGTCATCAAGGTGAATTATAGCAGGCAACCACCTCTCAGCAGGAGCCGCTGCATCCTCAGGAGAAGCCCATTGGCTGTATCTGTAGGGCAGTAGATGCTTCTGAGTTTCTGCAGGTGCTGGCATTTGGAGTGCAGTCATTCCCCTGAGAAATGATAGTTTACTACTCTTCAAAATATGGAAGCGGAAGTGAAGTATGGTGTCATGACAGTTACGCCTCACTCTGATCACTGCCTACGCTAGGAAATTTCTAACTCTGAAGGGAGATCAGGGAATAGGAGATGGTAGTGGGGGATGTGAAGGTCTAGAAAAGAGCTTGGAACCAAAGTATTTGTGAATTGTCCTTCTGTCTTCTACTTTACTTTCAAAGCAGTTTTATGCATTCTCTTTAGCTCCTGAATTTCAGCCTTAGGCTCTGAATATAGGAATGCTAGTGGAATATCATACCAGAATGACAAAAAGTGCTGGAATTTAAACCCTGGTAACTGAAAAGCATTTTTTTCCTCTATTTTTTAAAAATAAAGATACCCTAAATCTACAGAAATCTTCTGGTATTTTTTTAGCATCATGTCTTTTAATGTTGCTGATGGGATGAGATAAATGTCAGCATCCCTGTACCATATACTCATGTCGTAGTGGTGCACTGCTCAGAGCCTTAAAGCATGTATGTTTTCTGTCCCCCTTGAGAGCATACCATTACCAATTTATGACTCCTGCAGACAGAAAGGTGGTGTAGCCACTGTGCCTAGATTAGTTGTGTGAGTGAAGTTTTGTTTCTTTAGTAGTAGACAAATTACTGACTTGAACATCCCTATGAAGCCCAGCCTTTTAATCTTGCTTGCTAATTTCTCCCTAAAGCCCTTTCTCCACAGCTGTAATTAAAAAATTATAGCAATTTTTTTTGTTTCTTGTCACCACACAGAACCCTGGCACTACTTGGCCCTTCGCTTGCTAGAGTTCTCTGTTCAATTTTTGAACCTTTTAGGCTGTGTCAATGTAAGTAGCACTGGCTGTGACTTCTGTGAGAAATACTGGCAGGATCCTCCTTGTTGAATTGCTAATTCCTCTGTCTAGTAGTGGTAGTTTCCTGTAATTGTAAGCTTGCAGCAAAAGCTACGTTCCAAGGAAAGTGTTGGAGCAAGTTCTATTTAGAGAAGAATGCAGCTTTTTCTGAGCGTGGCATGAGTGGAACAATTTTGCATTCTAACAACCTTTCTGTAAGGCAAGTCTGTGTTGCTGAGCTCATTGATTTTTTTTTTCTTTTCTTTTTGCTATAGGTTATATAACTTTAAAAAAAAATTACTCTTGTGAAAGTTGTAACTTTTTTTATCTCTCACAATGCTAACTAAAAAAAAGGACCTGTTGAACTAAAACAAGTCCTCAGGATGCACTCGTCAAAAGCTGATCTATGATCCAATTGGGTTACTGGAATAACCAATAAAAAATACAGTAAAATAATTCAGCTAAGTTTCTTTTTCCTTTGTTTTGCATGATTATAAGCATGAGTGGCAGGTTTATATGTGCTGTGGCAGACCAGAATTGCCATTGCACATCTTAATCTCACTCCAGCAGTAAATAAGAGGCGCTACCAGAATTCTACCTAAAATCAGCTTTTTATGAAATATGTAAGGTAAGAAAAGCTGTAATAAAACTCTCCAGGAACATATAATTTTTAGGAATACTAAATAGTCAAGCAAAGCCATGCTGCATCCCAAAGTAAATATTATCAACAAGTATTTTCTTCAGTAAAACATTATATCACTCTTTTGGCAGCTGGTTCCCAATCCCTACATCAATGTTCGCAGTGATGGAAGCCTGCACCTTGAAAGAGTTCGGCTGCAGGATGGTGGCGATTATACCTGCATGGCAAGTAATGTTGCTGGGACAAGCAACAAAACTACTACTGTTAATGTGTATGGTAAGGAATGCTGTCTTCTGGCTTTTGTGCTGAATGCAAGATGAGAGTGCATTTCTGACTAACAGGAGCTCTCACTAGAGCTTTTTTGTTACAGTTGTACTAATTTCTCAAATTTCCTCTTTTGTAATGATGTTACTTTGTAAAGGAACATGGTGGGAAATTGGATCCAATGCCCAGGAGAGAACTGAGCGATTGAGACTGTTTTTAAAATAAAATAAAAAACCTACCATTTTGTGATTGTAAAAGATCCTCATTTTTAAAGTTCTACAAAGGTTGGGCTGTGCAGTCTTCATCTCCTGCTTTATTAACAAAACAGCTGCCAGTGGAAGTTTACTTCTGTTCCAGTAGAAAACCGTGGAAAATGCTGTTTGGGGTTTTTATAACTGATATAAGGAAGCACGACTCAAGGGAGAATTACAATTAAAATGAATTACGTGTTTGTTTCTTGGTCCCCTATTTCCTGCCCCCCACCCCTTTTCTTTAATTAAAACATACCAAAGATTACACTGACAGCAAGACAGTGTTAGCATTGTGGTAACCCATCTGTATCAGCTGAAGATACTTGTATTAACTCTGTGTGGGGTCACAGCCACTTCATGGTTTACAGCCTGAAGTTTTCTCACATGTTAAATTAATCATGGGAGATTTATTTTAAGCTTCACTAAAGATGCTGGAACATCCTTTTGTGTTAAGAATAGCTATTGTTTTTTAATACAGGCAAGTACTCAGTGTCTGATAAGGTCTTCCATGTCAATGCTAGTTTTTGGAATATTTCAGAACTTGAGAACAGAAAAGAATATATTTGTAGTTTCTGGTATTTTAGCCTTACATATGATCTTCTTTTTTCTGTTGTTAATTCAAAACTAGCTCAGTTAAGTAGGGGAACTGGGGTTCTTGTTATTTCTTGTTACTGATTTTGTGAAGTGATCTGGTATTTTTATTCAAGTTCATCTAATAGTCAGTCCCTGCAGAAAACATTGCTGCAGTTAGCACAACTTTGTGGCATTTATAGCAAATATTAAATAAGCTTGGAGTGCGATCAGTTCTTCACTCTTTATCGGCTCTGTTCAAAATCTTGTCCATTGATGGAAAATGATTCAGCACCAGAAATGCTGAACCCATTGTCATGAAAGGTGCTGTACAGGTTGAATCATGTATCATTTCAGGAAGCCTGGCCTAAAATGTTGTCAGAGGATATTGTGACAAAGACTTTCTGAAATTATTGCAATCAGCTATGTGAAATGCCTACAGTTAGTTTACAACTACATGTGCCTAATCCAATGATTGACCTATGGCTGATGTGCTTTGTTATGAACAGGTATTTATTCTGTCATGGAAAACCGGAGAATGGAGGAGGCAGTGGCTGGTCAGTGTCAATGTTAGGGTTCAGAGAAGAGGCTGAAAATTCCCAAACCCTGCTGCCTGTATGAAGTAGTAATTGAATATAAGGGTTTTATTGTAAGAGTTGTGCCATGGTTTGAAATATGTCTTCTGCATGCGTTTAATATTTGCATTTATTTTTAGTTCTCCCTGTTATTCAGCATGGACAGCAGATATTTAGCACCATTGAAGGAATCCCAGTGACATTACCATGCAAAGCAAGTGGAGTTCCTAAACCATCTATTGTCTGGTCCAAGGTAATTTCTCATCTTTGAGCTGTTCATGGTGAAAGATTAATTGAACGCATCATTTAGTTGTCATAAAATCGATATGCAAGAAACACGGCCAAAAGCCTCAGTTGTGAAGGACCTGGAAATCTCTATTCATATCTGCTTTTGTTTCCTAGAGCAGTGCTTTCTGGCCACGGTCCAGCCAAGAAATCAATATTCTGTTCTTTGGAAGGGCTTTGGTTATTGCTGTATCTTTGTTTTTAACACTTTAGAAATTGTTCATATTCCTGTTGCGAGTTGATAATTTGGGGTTAGGCAACCTGCACAGATTAAAATTTTCACTTTTGTTTTGGAGTCTTACTTTTAAGATGACTCTTTCCTCTGAAGAAAGTGTGTCTAATAACAGCATTGTAGGGTTAACCATCTGCCACTTATCAATCATGTCCTTGCCAAGATGTTTTGACATTAGAAATTGATGTTAAAATTAACCAGTTGAAATCTTGAATTTTTTTTAAAATCGCAGTCTGTAAAAAGTATCAAGTTTTCTGCATAAAAATCCCTGTGCTGCTTCTGTTGTTACTGCTTAGACAGTGACACTCAAGGAGTGTGGAAAATTAGTTTGTATGGATGGAATTTTGGGGCCAGGCTGCTCAGTTAATTCAAAATATTTTGCTCATCTTGGCCATGATACAATAGAAGTAGTACTGTAATGTAAATTCAAACACTGCTCGGTTTAGTCAGGCTGCCTGCAAATTGTTTGGTTTGTATTAAAGACCATGAAGCGTATTTCACAGTGAAAAATCTGATGCAGTATTAAAAATACAGCAGTTTTCATATGAATGGATCACGGCAATGGGGTAAACTTAGGGGAGAAGCTACAGAAACTAACATTTTTATATTCCTTTAATAGTTTTTTATGGTTTTTGTTAGATTTTGCTCTATCTGGAATAAAATCTGGATTAAAAGCTTTAGTTTTTATTGAATTAAATGATTGTAATTTGTTTTATTTTAGAAGATCCAGGCACTGTGGACTTTTTTTTTTCCCCACAGAAAGGAGAAGTAATTCTTTCCAGCAATGTGAAATTTTCTGCAGCGTCTGATGGAAGTCTGTATGTAGTTTCACCAGGGGGTGAAGAGACTGGAGAATACATGTGCACTGCAACAAATGCTGCTGGTTATGCTACACGGAAAGTCCAGCTGACTGTCTATGGTATGTATAAGCCAAAATCAAATACAGTATCGTCGTCTCTCTCCCCCCATTGCATTCTACTTTAGATGGTAAAACCCACTCAGTTGGATTGTGAACTAGGATACCCATGGTGCAAATGGGATTTAAACTAATGTCTAATTAGTGATTTTGACTTTGTACTAGGTCTCTGGATCCACATAGTAGGTAACTTTACAAATGGCTGATAGTGAAAGGCCTATGCTTCAGCTGTTATGATTATCTTAAAACCTTCTGATACCTGTTACCTTGAGTTCATGAGCTAGGATCTTGGCCTGATCATAATTTCATTTTTTATGGAAGTGAATAGGAAGTACCTGTATAGGAACAGAAGTCCCTGCTGATAGAAGAATGAAGATCCATTAATCCCATCAGGCCCAAAGCTTCCTGCCATCTCCCAGTATAATAAAAAAAGTAGATTTAGGTGTAGGCTTGCATTGCAAGGCTTTTTTGGCTTGTGGGTATTGGTGCTGTAGTGTAACATAGTTCGCGTACTGGTTGCAAACTATCTGTGCAATACAGAGCTCAGCATATACATGAACTACATATAGATGTTGCTGTCCAGCTTTTTGGGTAGATCGTGCTGACTTGCTGGTTTGTGGTACTGCACGTAGGCATCATTGTCTGAGGTACAGAGGCGATGTACATCAGTGTTACAGTGATTTATGTCTGTTGCAGACATGTAATTGAAAATAGGATTGTAATGTTACGTATCTCATTAAAAAAAAGATGTTTAATCTGAAGTAAAATTGTATGGTGTTACATTTGTACAAATATGTATATTCATTGCAGCTTATTAACATGTTCCGTGTTATAGTGAAACCTAGAGTATCCAGGCCTGGAGACCAGCAAGGAAATGCATATGATAAACCCATAGAGATCTCAGTAATTGCAGGGGAAGATGTCACACTTCCATGTGAAGTAAAGAGCTTGCCACCCCCAATAATTACGTGGGCCAAAGAAATGCAGCTCATATCTCCATACTCTCCAAGGTAACAATGTTTGATGAAAACAAAAAAAAGTGAAATTGTGTCTAAGCTTTCAAGATTTTGGAAGGGTATGTAAATTCTAATTGCCGTAGGATGAATCAGAAGGTATTAAGTTGTCCTGCATGAGGACCTTGTTTTACTAGGTCTTGAAACTCTCTTAACCAAAACAAGTGTGTGTCTCTTTCTGTATACTAAGACCATGCATTGTTGTACAGCTTCCATTTCAGTGCATGTTTATATGCAATCTCAGGAGGCCAGGGCGAAGGAGATCCTGTGATATTTGTACTGCGGTGGTGCCCAGAGACCCACAGAATCTGTGCCTGATTAGGAATGTTTAAAAACTGTTTTTCTTTCTTAAGCACTTCATATTTATGCTCAGGGGAGCATTCTCTGTTATTCATATGAAGTCTGGGCTGCCAGTAGACTACACATGATGATAAATGTTTGGGAGTGCTTACAAGGGCTCATTGCTTGCTGTGTTTTGGATCCAAAACCTCTCCAGATATTCTTGAGCATGTGAATACATAGCTAAATGCTCATAAAAATACTGAGTTGACAGCCTTAGAGAATGAAGAGTTGGGGACTGTCTTGTATACAGCCACAGCATTGGAGTTTTTTATTATTTTAGTGTGGTACAAAGTAAGAGAGGAAACAAGTAGGTGCTTATTCTCTGTATGTTCCCAGATGAAGTGCCAGGTACTGTCATGGGGCGTGCTTATGCTTTCTAGTCTTCAAGATACCTTGAAGGGGTAAAGGCTACAGCTGTGTTCATAAACCAGGAAACGGTAACACTGGCCAAATGCACATGGTAGCTAGTGCACGTTGTCTAGTGTCTCTCACTGACTGAAGTGGAAGGAATCAGCCAGTGTCTGAGCTGAAGTAAGGAACTGTACAAACCTGAAGGCGAGCCTCTTTATCTGCACCTCAGGGCCATCCATTTCAGCAAGTCTGCAACAACCTCAGCAACTAATAGCAGCTGGGCCAGCATGTTTGGTGAAGGAGGCTTGTTAGTAATCCGTGTGGGATTTTCTGCTGTGTCCTGTAAGCACATTGCATGCACTAACAAATCTGCATTCTTGGTCCCTTACTTGTCCTCATTTTACTTCAGGAGACTTTGATAAATTAGGCTACTTGCTCATGGCTGTCGTGGAGAGATCCAAGTTGTCCAGAGTAGCAGAAGTCCAGATCAGCCCATGCTGTAAAATTGTTTACAGATGTCAGGAAAAGTTAAAGAATTAGTCCAAACAGAATTGTTTGAGACCACCCAAGGATGATGTTAGAAATGTGACGAGTAAACAAAAGAAGAATGAAATCGGAAACGAGGGAACTTTTATCAGAAAGCAAATGTAGTTAGGGGACAAAATAATGGAAGATAACTTGCCCCAGCAATCTATCTTTAGGAGTTATTTAAAAAAAAAAAAAAAGTTTGGAAAGATGGGCAGAAGAGGAAGACTCATAATACCAGACAGAGTTGGGTGGCCTGGAGGAAATCCACTTCACTTTCTTTCCACTCATCTCTCTGGGCCATTGCAATCCCCAAGTTCACCATTTATGCCCATATGATAACATTGTCCTAATTAGACAGTGCCTGAGAAAGACAGATGATACCACCAATTCCCACCAATTTTGCCTAAATTCTGTATATGACCTTGAGTGCTAGACTTGAATTTCTTCTTGTCAATTCTTAGCTGTCTTTTTTTTTTTCTTCCTTCATTTATTTTGCCTATCTCTATTACTTTTGACTTCTGCATAAGAAGATTTAGGCTTAGCTGGCCAATGTATCTGGTAATGTTACAGGCCTGTGACCAGAACTGTAGACAATTTCTGTAAACACTAGAACTGGCAGTTTTGAATCAGAATACTCTTCAGAATCCCATCTTCCATCTTGAATCAATGTAACATCTTTTTTTTGCCAGGATGCAGTAGTATCAGAAGTTGTTTAACTTTCTGACCCTGCTGACCTGGGCTGAGCAAAAATTTTTGACAGGAGGTTGAAGTGCTCCATTTCTCTATGTGTAGGTTTTTGGTTTGTGGTTTTGTTGTTTTTTTTTTTTTTCCCCACCCCCACTTCTAGAAACAAGTCAGATTTTAATATGTCCTGTAAGTAGCTAGAACCAAATTTTGTAATTCGGGTCTTATATTTTAGATACTTGCTGTGTATTCTGCATATAGTGGCTCAGGAATGAGTAAATGTAAGTCATAGTTTAGTCATATAGCACAGCTCAGTGTGCCCTGTAGGATGGTGTTATTTTAGCTCGTAGCAATCATTAGCAATGTGTAAGTAGAGGTCATTCACCTTTCAATATATGTTTATGTAGTGTATCTACTTCTTATGTTTCCAGACACACTTTCCTACCTTCAGGGTCAATGAAGATCAGCGAGACACAAGTTTCAGACACTGGAATGTATATCTGTGTAGCCACAAATATTGCTGGGAATGTGACTCAGTCAGTGAAGCTAAATGTACATGGTAAGTTTTAACTTAAAGGATAATCATCTGCAAGTTTCTGCATGGAATTTAGCATCATGTAGAGCTTTAAAAATGTTCTTCCTTATGTACATTAAATACTATTGACCTATATTCTTTCAGGTCATGCTGTCTTCATGTGCAAGTTGTTACTGATTATGTGGAAAGGAAATATTGTATACATGCACACGTGTGTGTGTATATACACACAGGCACCCACCTTCCTCTAACGTTCCATAGATTCATGGAAGAATTATAGCACAATATGATAATTTGACTCCTTTTAAGTCAGCCAGAGAGACTTTTAAAAACTGAAAACTTGTTCTAATGCATTTGATTGCCTTGTTCTCTGTGCAAGAGGTTTCTCAGCAGTAAGTTTGCAAACAGTGGCTGAGAATAACAAAGTTGGCTGAGGCTTACAGGTGTCAAGTTTCCACCAACTTGATGGGAATTACATATCCAAACTGTTTTGGTCGTGAATGTCAAAGTTTGCTTGCACACCTGCTCAGGTGGTAGTGAAACCAGTGTGTGACTGTGCACAGGCAGCTGCTTCTGTCTTGGTGCACAGCTATATTCTGCAGTACCCGCTTTTGCAAACTAACACCTTAGCCCATCTTACTGTACTTTCTCTATTCAAACCAGCACCCTGTGCTTGTGCCCACCTTCCTCCCCCTCTATGAAGGTATCTAGTTGCTCTTTCTCAAGCTAGGACCCATGTCCCTTTCCCTCTCTTTCTTATGATCCTCCCATTCTCCCTCATCTCTCTCCTACTTTCCCCTTCCTAGGGCCACAGTCTCTTAACCACTTACATGATGTCACATGTTAGCTCTGTGGTATCTCTTCCTCCTTACCTGTGTCAGACAAACACATGTTGCAGCACATGTACCTTCTGCCAGTGCTAAAGCACATAGGAGAGTGGGTGCCGGAGCCATGGTCTGGCACAACCCCGATGAGGCTGATCAGTAGTAATTCTGGGTGTATAGATGGTTCTCCTGTGGTTCATGTAGAGTTTGGAAGTCTTGCTGCCAGCGCCCATTGCCAGCACACATCTTTGAAGTGGACCACATACCACCAATCTATCAGATCGGAGCTCCTGCCCCCAGCAGCTCTGAAACCTTCAAACTACAATAATTCAATTGCAATGGCTATAACAGATTACTGTCTGGTTCTGTGTATAGAGAAGTCTGATATCAGTGCACATCTTTGTTTATCTGTAATTGTACATTAACAGAAAGTCTGGAAAAAGGTCACTTGTTATTGTTTCAGACATTCTTTATAAGTCTTTTTATTGTCAATGATCCTTGGAAAAAAAACCAACACTGTGGCAAAAAAGTTAGTTGGATTTATATTATTCTTTGGGACCAGCAAAATCTTTTCCAGTCATATTTTATCTCCTTGTCCGAACTCATTTTTGGAAGCATACAAAGATCAGGGATTAGGTGAAGGAAATTGAAATCTCAGCA